TATATATAAATATATTTAATATATAAACAACATATTTTTCTTAAATATATACATGCATGTGTTTGTATTTATATAATATTAATAATAATAATATTAAAATCTTTATTTTTTTAGTAAAACAATCAAAATGTAATTTGTTTTGTCATATGCCATAGCTATGCATGACTATACACTAGACAAATTCAGCCAAGGTGAATACATATAATAATGAATGCATACGTTAATGAAACAATTATGTTTTATTTACTGACAACAACAGGAAACATGAATAAATGAGTAAAAGAATAAATCAAAGTAATCATGACAATAAATAAATACAAGTCAACAACACATGAAACAAAGCTTTATTCAAACATAGTGTTCTAACAATGATGTATTTACAGGTGGTGAAGCCACATCTACTGCATCTCAACACAGCTGAGACAGTTCACAGCTGTGCCAATTCTGCAGCTTTATTTTGATTAAGCAGCTGACCACCGTGCCCACCTTCGCCTGTCTTTGCTGTCCATCACGTCCCTCATTGCTGCAGTCAGACTGAATCTGATCATGGATGGGAAAGGGACATCGAGGCTGTCTTTGTCTGAGTGCATGGAGAGGATGAGGAAGACCATGATGAAGACCCCTGAACCACACAACCTTGAGCAAGAGCAGGAGAACATGTGCGGGACAATCTGACTGCTGCTGTGTCTGCTCCAAACATTCGTGTGCTGCTCTCCATGAGCATGACTACCCATTACCGCGGGAAGTAGGGGAGCTGCAGCATCCCCTGGTGCGTAGCCAAAGAAAAAATGGGGGGGCTGGGGGTGCGGTGTTAAAAATAAATAAATGAAAATTTTGTAACACAAAATAAATCAAATTAATTTTATTAATTTTTATATTCATTAAAATTCATAGAAAAAAGTAGCCTAAGCCTACAATGACAATAAGAAACAGTAAAACATGAATTAAGTTGAATCAAATTGATTGTGAAAGTCGTTTCAACTTATACTGACTTAGGAAGTCGTTTGTTGCCATGACTTTTTGATCATATTATTATTATACCTGTAACATGTCTGTGTCGTACCAAAACAAAGAATTAACGGCCATTTCTATAGCCATTGCAAAGATACATAAAAGAAAGATCGAGAGCATCTATTTACTGTACCTCAGCAGCAACCAATCTCGCATTCTCGCATCTGCAGCGCTTATTTTGATCTTTAACGTTAGATCTTTCCTATTCTTGGAACAAAATTAATGCTTAAGGTTGATTCAGTATTACTCTTAATGGAAAAAAATCCCACACACAACATCAGCAATACTACAATGACAAAGTAGCTTATATTTAACATAAAACTTGTATTAACAGACCGAATTATGTATTATAATAACGAATTACATGCCCGCGTTGTAACAAATAAATAAAAGGTTTTTGGATTTTCCCCTTACTTCAAACGAATGCTTTGTGGCTCATTATTATTATTATTATTAATAATAATAATAAAAAGGCTATACAATAAAACAGTACGATGACAAATTCACTTATATTAAACTTTGAAATTGTATTAACAATATGAATAAGGAAAATATGTTTTACCCGCATTGTAACACAAATAAATAAACGGTCTTTGGATTTCCCCTTTTCTTTGAAACGATCATAGTTTGTGGTTCATTATTAGCCAATTAATTACAACACATCAGCCATAAAATAGTAGGCCTACAATGGCAAATTCGCATAGGCCTATATGAAACATCTAAATTTTATTAACAAAATGAATAAGATGGATAGGCTATAGCCTAACTGCATTGTAACCCAAATAAATAAGGTATTTTCCCTCTTTTAAAACAAAAGCTTAGTTTGTGGTTCATTGTTTTATTTATTTTTTAATGAAAACACAGTTCGAAGATTCGCTTGCATTAGTGTTTTTGTATTTTATGGCATTATTATAAGAATTGATTGGAGCACTATATTATTGTTTTATGCAAAGGGAGCTTTGTCAATGGTAGCACTCGCTAACTTGCTCAAGGACACCTCTCTGTGCCAATCACAACAGGCTTGGCCAGCTGACCAATCAGAGCAGAGAAGGCTTATGGAAGGTAGGGGTTTGCTCCGAACTTGCTTGGAACTAACCGTTTAGAAATCATTGGCAAATTACTCTAATATTAAATGTATATTCTGAGAAAATTACAATGTTTTCTGACCTTAGATGCATTTAAACCTGTTGTAGGGGACTCCAACACAATATTAGGACACTTTAAAATACCATATGACCTGCTCTTTATATAGGTCCATTGCTTTTTTTTACAGTCTGTGGTCCAGCGTTTATTGGGTTGTGCGTCAGTAATAATGGTCCGTGCGTGGGGAAACACGGTGTTCCGTGTGTAGCTACAGTAAATAGACTAAACGCAGCCTCGAGGCAGATGATTTTTTTTGTATTCGAGTTACACGAGGTATTCGAGGAGTCGTTTCTGCCCTACTCCGAAGTGTGATTCGAAACACCCATGTCACGTGACTACGTTTCACAAGTGTTTCGAGACGGGCATACCTGCCGAATCTGCGTTTGATTGACAGGGTCAGGAAACCACACAATCGCACATCTGTCTCA